TGCTCCATCAGTGCTTTACCCTTTCTCCTGGGCAAATCCCCACACCATTGCCTCTGCCCACCCAGTACAATCCCGCGGGGCAAGAGGAGTAGCAGCACAAAGGAAGCCGTGATTGGTTCTGCCCAAGAGGTTAGCAGTGACGCTGGTGGTTGTCAACAGAATTGCTCTTTCCAAAAAACACCACTGTCCACTCTCTCCAGTCCCAGCTTTGAAAGATAGCTGTCCCCTACCCCCTCAAATAAATATGACTCTGAGTATTTCTTGCCTTAATTTTCTTAATTTCAGAGACAGTTCCCATTGGCTTCACTCCCTACACACTAGCAACAGCCAAGACTGGGTCCAGTCAAAACCAGCAACACAGTCCATGTCTCCCACATGAATGACAGAAATCCAAATACCCACCTATCATTGCTGCCTCCCAGGGACTGCATTAGCAAGAAGCTGGAATCAGATGCCAGAGGCAGTTATTGAACGCAGGCACCCTGGTGTGGGATCCAGGCATCTTAACCCGTATCAATAGCTAAACCAAACGCTCACTCACTGTGTTGCTGTTGTCTTAGATTGTAGATAGAAGACTGAAATGTGGGTTCCACACCATAGTGATGAAGGAAAAAATAGGCGGAAGATAAAAGGAAGTTGTCACGAGACTTGTCAAAGACACAAAACTAGTTGAACTGAGTGTTTCAGAACTGAATCCAAATGAGGACTTCACTTTTTTTAATTAATTAACAGATAGAATTACAGACAGAGAAAGATCTTCCTTCCATTAGTTCACTCCCCAAATGGCTGCAACAGCCAGAGCTACGCCGATCTGAAGCCAGGAGCCAGGTGCCGCCTCCTGGTCTCCCATGCGGGTGCAGGGGCCAAGCACTTGAGCCATCCTCTACTGCTTTCCCAGGCCACAGCAGAGAGCTGGACTGGAAGAGGAGCAGCCGGGACTAGAACCAGTGCCCATATGGGATGCCAGCGCCGCAGGTGGAGGATTAACCTAGTGTGCCACGGCACCAGCCCCGAAGACTTCACTTTTTGTAGGCAGAACTTGTGCTAGCTCTGTCTTTCATTGTTAAGCTCCTCTACTAAGAGGTGAAACAAAAAGCTTATCTAAGCAGCTCAATAAACATTGTGGATTTTGTCTTTGAAGCACTTACAGGAAGGATGTTCCAGCTGGATAGCCTCAGTAACAATTTCTAACTCGTTCTGAGAGCCTTCAACAGGAAATTGAAAAAAGAGGCTGTATGCTGGATATGAAGAAAAAAAGTGTTACTTGTGTGATAGAAGTACTTCTCAGTTACGATCTGGGGTACCTCATCAACATTAGTGGGCTGTTGAGAAGCAGCCAGCAAAGCTGACTGATTGCTTTTCCCCTCCCCTCCCCTCCCCTCCCCTCCCCTCCCCTCCCCTCCTCTCCCCTCCTCTCCCCTCTCCCCTCCCCTCCTCTCGCCTCCTCTCCCCTCCTCTCTCCTCTCCTCTCCTCTCCTCTCCTCTCCTCTTCTTTTTTTCAGATTTATTTATTTATTTGAAAGCCAGAATTACAGAAAGAGAAGGAAAAGCAGAGAGATCTTCCAGCCTCTGGTTCACTCTCCAAATGGCCACAATGTCTGGGACTGGGCCAGGATGAAACCAGGAGTTTCATCTGGGTCTCCCAAGTGTGTGCAGGGCCCCAAATAGTTGAACCATATTCTGCTGCTTTCCTAAGCACGTTAGCACAGAGCTGGATCCGAAGTGGAAGAGCCAGGACTTGAACCAGCATTCATATGCTGGCATCGCACGGTTAGGCAGGTTAACCTAACTGCCACAGTGCTGGCCCCAGAGCTACATACACAGCTGTACAGCAGTAACTGGAGGCCTGTGATGGGAAGGAAGAGAGACTGGTTAATTTAAAAAATCCATTTTAGGGGGCAAGTGTTGTGGCACAGTGAGAGTTAAGCTACAACTTGGGATGCCTTCATTCCATATTAGAATGCCTGGGATCAAGTCGCACCTCTACTTCCAGTCCAGCTTCCTGCGAATGCCCACCCTGGGAGGCAGCAGATGATGGCTCAAATACTTGGAGCCGTGCCTTCCAAGTGTGAGACCCAGATGGAGTTTTCTGGCTCCTGGGTTCAGCCTGGCCCAACCCGGGCTGTTGCAAGCATGTGGGGAATGAAGCAGCAAATGGAAGATCTGTCTCTCTGCCTTTCAAATAAATAAGTAAACTTTATGGGTTTCTCTATAAGAAAAAGTATTGTAGGAAGTATTGCTTGGGAAAATATATAGTTTATAATATTACAAGGATGTCATTGGGACCGATGCTATAGCATAGGTTAAACCTCCTGCAGTGCTGGCATCATATATGGGTGCCAATTCGAGTCCCAGCTGCTCACTTCTGATCCAGCTCCCTGCTAATGTGCCTGGGAAAGCAAGGGAAGATGGCCCAGGTGCTTGGTCCCCTGCACTCCCATGGGAGACCCAGAAGAAGCTCTAGGCTCCTGGCTTCTGATTGGCCCAGCTGCAGCCATTGTGGATATTTTGAGGGTGAACCAGCAGATAGAAGCGCGCGCGCTCTCTCTCTCTCTCTCTCTCTCTCTCTCTCTCTCTCTGCCTTTCAAATAAATAAATCTTTATAAAATAAAAAAATATAAGGATGTAGTCAAGGATGGGATCAAGAGAATTCTCTGAAAGTTATTTCATAAAGAGAGTGCCTGTTGTCTACCCTGGAAAACTGGGTATAATTGACAGGATGGGCTATTCTCTTTAGACTAAGAATCCCCTTGAGTATGACTAAGCGCACAGTAAATACTCAACACAAACTGAATTGAATTTCTACGTTTTTTCCTCTTCCCTTTTCCTCATATTTTTGCCTCTTCCTGTGCTATTTCGGTTTCCACATGTCTCCTTACTGATCTCTGATACTTGCAGGGCCTTATATAAGAAAAAGGGTGCAGAACAGAGAGGAGACAGGGTATGCACTTAGACCGAATTTATTCAAAGAAAATAAATCTGCGGAGGGGGGGTCACCAACTGCCAATTGCACACAGACTGAACATGTGGCAGAGGGTCCAGCCCCCAGGGGCTGAGATTTTATGTCTTAGGTGGGCTGGGGCTAAGGGTGGTGGTGAATTTCTCCAGACAGGTTTTTCAAGTTTGGCCCACCAGCCTCCGAACTGGGAAAGAGTTCAGGGGGGTGGGACTGGTGCTGTAGCTTAGCAGGTAAAGCTGCTGCCTGCAGTGCCAGCATCCTATAAGGGCACCAGTTCGACTCCCAGCTGCTCCGCTTCTAATCCTGCTCTCTGCTATGGCCTGGGAAAGCAGTAGAAGGTGGCCCAAGTCCTTGGGCTCCTGCACCCATGTGGGAGACCCAGAAGAAGCTCCAGGCTCTCCTGGCTGTGGGTTGGCCCAGCTCCAGTTTATTGAGTCCATCTAGGGAGTGAACCAGCAGATAAAAGACCTCTCTCTCTCTCTCTCCCCACCCTTCTATAACTCTGCCTTTCAAATAAATCTTTAAAAAAATGCAGGGGTGGGTGGGTGGGAACAATAGGGTGTAGACTGAATTGGAATTCAGGGACAAGGGATAAATTCTGATTTTATCTGTCTTTTGGGGTAATGAGTGAAAATTATTGATGCTCATGTCCTTCTTCCATCAATCCTGACTGAGTAGAAGTAAGGAGATGAGGTGCTGGTTCCTTTCTGGCTATTCCTGCTGATAAGGGACGTGGCTGTGCGGCAAGGATGTATACTTGGGACCGGGTCGATTGAAGAGGGAGAGCAGTTTTGTGTTGCTCCTGAAAGATGGCTTGAGATAATAGTAGTCATTTGTTCCTGCAAGAACCTTTGGAATAAGTTAATTACACATGGTAGATTTAGGAGACTATGATTATGAGGATAAAAGGAGATATTAGGGACACTGCCCATGGTGGAAAGATGGCCAAAACGAGGCAGAGTTAGAATTATTTGGAGAGGCCAGCGCCGCAGCTCAATAAGCTAATCCTCTGCCTTGTGGCGCCGGCACACTGGGTTCTAGTCCCGGTCGGGGCGCCAGATTCTGTCCCGATTGCCCCTCTTCCAGGCCAGCTCTCTGCTGTGGCCCGGGAGTGCAGTGGAGGATGGCCCAAGTGCTTGGGCCCTGCACCCCATGGGAGACCAGGAGAAGCACCTGGCTCCTGGCTTCGGATCAGCGCGGTGCGCCGGCCGCAGCGCGCTGGCCGTGGCAGCCATTGGAGGGTGAACCAACAAAAAAGGAAGAGCTTTCTCTCTCTCTCTCTCTCTCTCTCTCTCTCTCTCTCTCACTATCCACTCTGCCTGTCAAAAAAAAAAAAAAAATTTGGAAAAATCTGTTGAATTCAGGAATTGTCAGGGACATGAGATGGTTCTGACATTGTGGAGAGTTGCATCAATCTGGTGGTGGGTCCTGTGGGAGTAGACTTACTAGTTTTAATGAAGTGAAATGTACCCGGGGGTGTGTATGTCCCTTGAATTTGGCAGTAGTGGGGGTGGTCTATCACCTGGCCTATTCCATTTTGGCTTTAGAGCAGCTTCATTTTGAGATAAACCCAGGCACCAGGTTGAAAGGTAGGAGTATAGTCAGAAGGTAGAGAGTGATTTGGGCAGATGAATGTGTGCATAGGTCCATAAGTGAGCACGCATTTCAGTAAGAAGAAAGTGAGAGGAGGAGGAATAGCTTCAGAATTTTGTAGGGGAGGAAAGTTAGGTGAAAGAAGAGGCCTTCCATAGAGAATTCCTTTTTTTCTTTTTTTTTTTTTTCTTTTTCTTTTTTTTTTTTTTTTTTTTTTTTTTTTGACAGGCAGAGTGGACAGAGAGAGAGAGACAGAGAGAAAGGTCTTTCTTTGCCGTTGGTTCACCCTCCAATGGCCGCCGCGGCTGGTGCGCTGCGGCCGGCGCATCACACTGATCCGAAGACAGGAGCCAGGTGCTTTTCCTGGTCTCCCATGCAGGTGCAGGGCCCAAGCATTTGGGCCATCCTCCACTGCACACCCGGGCCATAGCAGAGAGCTGGCCTGGACGAGGGGCAACCAGGACAGAATCCGGCACCCCGACTGGGACTAGAACCCGGTGTGCCGGCGCCGCAAGGCGGAGGATTAGCCTGTTGAGCCACGGCGCCGGCTGAGAATTCCTTTTTTTAAAAAACAAATTTTTAAAAGATTTATTTGAAAGTCAGAATTATACAGAGAGAGAAGGAGCAGCAGAGAGAGAGAGGTCTTCCATCTGCTGGTTCACTCCCCAAATGGCTGCAATGGCCGGAGCTGGGCCGATCCAAAGCCAGGAACTAGGAGCTTCTTCTGGGTCTCCCATGTGGGTGCAGGGGCCCAAGGACTTGGGCCATCTTCTACTGCTCTCCCAGGCCATAGCAGAGAGCTGGATCGGAAGTGGAGCAGCCAGGACTTGAGCTGGTGCCCCTATGGGCTTACCAGCTAAGCCACAGTGCTGGCGTCCATAGAGAATTTCGAACAGGCTAAGTATTAGCAGTTTCTGGGGAAGAGTTTTTTTTTGTTTTTTTTTTGTTTGTTTGTTTGTTTTTGTTTTTTTGACAGGCAGACAGAGACAGAGAGAAAGGTCTTCCTTCTGTTGGTTCACCCCCCAAATGGCTGCTACGGCTGGCATGTTGCGCCAATCCGAAGCCAGGAGCCAGGTGCTTCCTCCTGGTCTCCCATGCGGGTGCAGGGCCCAAGCACTTGGACCATCCTCCACTGTACTCCCTGGCCACAGAAGAGAGCTGGACTGGAAGAGGAGCAAACGGGACAGAATCCACCGCCCCAACTGGGACTAGAACCGGGGTGCCGGCGCCACAGGCGGAGGATTAGCCAAGTGAGCCACAGCGCTGGCCAAGAGTTCTACTTCTTAACAGAGCTAAAGGAAAGAGTTTTACCCAGTCTAAGTGGACCTGGGCAGAAAGTTTAGTTAGAGCCTGTTTTAAAATTCCATTCATTTGTTCTACTTTTCCTGAAGAGGGAGGTCGACAGAGAATGTGAAATGCCGGCCGGCGCCGCGGCTCACTAGGCTAATCCTCCGCCTAGCGGCGCCGGCACACCAGGTTCTAGTCCTGGTTGGGGCGCCGGATTCTGTCCCGGTTGCCCCTCTTCCAGGCCAGCTCTCTGCTGTGGCCAGGGAGTGCAGTGGAGGATGGCCCAGGTGCTTGGGCCCTGCACCCCATGGGAGACCAGGAAAAGCACCTGGCTCCTGGCTCCTGCCATCAGATCAGCGCGGTGCGCCGGCCGCAGCGTGCTGGCCTTAGCGGCCATTGGAGGGTGAACCAACGGCAAAGGAAGACCTTTCTCTCTGTCTCTCTCTCTCACTGTCCACTCTGCCTGTCAAAAAATAAAAAAATAAAAAAAATAAAAAAAAAAAAAGAATGTGAAATGCCATGAGAGAAGAAGACAGGCAGATAACCATTTGAGTAATCTGAGAGGTATACTCTGGTCCGTTATCTGAATGGAAGCCAGTGATCTAAATCTTGCGATAATATCGTTTAAAAGTATATGACGGGCTCTTCTGAGTGCGCCGGCGCGGCTGACTGTACACAATTGGTGACATGAGTGACACAGAAGATGACGATACTCCTCAGCTTTCTTCCCACGCCTTAGCAGCTCTCCAGGAATTTTATGCTGAGCAGAAGCAACAAGCTGACCCAGGTGCACATGATAAATATAACATTGGAATAATAGAAGAGAACTGGCAACTGAGCCAGTTTTGGTATAGTCCGGAAACTGCCCTACGACTCGCACAGGAAGTGATTACAGCTGCTGGAGAAGGTGGCAGAATCGCCTGTGTGAGCGCCCCCAGTGTTTACCAGAAGCTCCGAGAGCTGCACAGAGAAGACTTTTCCATTTGCATCTTTGAATATGACAAAAGGTTTGCCATGTATGGAGAGGACTTTATCTTCTATGATTACAATAATCCACTGGATCTACCTGAACACATCCCTACACATAGCTTTGACGTCGTGGTGGCGGATCCTCCATATCTTTCTGAGGAGTGTCTCAGGAAGACATCAGAAACCATCAAGTACTTGACCAAGGCCAAGATTTTGCTGTGCACAGGGGCCGTCATGGAAGAACAGGCCGCACAGCTCCTGGGGGTGAAGATGTGCAAGTTCATTCCACGGCACACCCGAAACCTGGCAAATGAGTTCCGCTGTTACATGAATTTCGATTCTGGGCTGGACTGCGGCCTCTAACTGGCAGAGTGACACAATACGGTAAAGGCCCCGGGTGACATTTCCACGTCGTTGTATTTTCTCAGTCGATTAAAAAGTTACAACCTCCTCCCTTCCCCTCCAACTTCCCTGGCCTAATTGTCAAAATAAGGGACACAGCCCCTCATTGTTTCCCTAAGGAGGCATCCCTGGCGCTGGACTGTCTTCTCCGAACTTGAGTTCATGGAATTGGAGTTGGAAGAAATCTGAGAACCTGTCTAATCCACTCTCTTCGTTTAACATAAGAAGTACAGCTTCTTGGCCACCCAGGGCCTCCTGAATTAGACAGGACCTTGGCCTCTGCCTCAGGCCAGAGGTTCCTGTACCAGGGGCTCCTTCTGACTGCCCAGCATCCTGAGACTTGCGAGGGCCCCCAGCCCGCGCCAGCCCCCAGGAGCAGTGCCGAGTCTCCCTGACACCGACGAGTGCATGAGTGCCTTGGGTTTCTCTCTGCTTCCCAGGTCTGTGGGGCTGACGGCCGTGTGGCTCTGAGTCAGCTGAGAAAGTAGAAGCACCACCACCTGTACACCAAATGCCATAGCCAAAAACAGGGGACTGGGCGCAGGCTACATTGTCACTGCTCGGCACGTCCGTACCATGTCCGTACCCCAGAGCGGGCAGAAGGAAGGAACGAGGGTTCGTTGCAGCCTGGGGCATCGGGCCCTGGGAGAAGAGCCATCCCCAGAGATCTTGCATGGAGAATGGATTCGTGGGTGGCAGGGGTCGGGCTGGGGCAGGGCTGACGGGGACGGGTTCTGTGGTGCTGCGATGCCCGTGTCTTGTGTGTGGTGGCTGTTTCACAGATCCACACGCATGACAGCCATGCCTGCCCAGCTGGCGAGGGCTGCACCAGTGCCGGTTCCCTGCTCTGCCATTCCCTAAGATGCACCCTCAGGCAAAACTAGGCCAAGGGAGCAACAGCCCGTCCTGTAAACACTGGCAATGTCTTGGAAATCTGCAATCATTTTAAAGTAAAATCTTCCTCAGAACTTAATGTCCCAGGGCCTGCTTCGTAGCATGACGTAGCATGATGCTACCTGTGACACCAGCATCCCAATGGGTGCCAGTTGGTGTCCCAGCTGCTCCACTTCCAATGCAGCACCCTGCTAATTCACTAGGGAAAAGCAGCAGAAAATGGCTCAAGTGCTGGGGCCCCTGCACCCATTTTGCAGACCCAGATGAAGCGCCTGGCTCCTGGTTTCAGCCTGGCTCAGACCTGGCCATTGCTGCCATCTGGGGAGTGAACAAGCAGATGTCGGCTCTGTCTGTCTCTCTCTGTGTGTGTCTCTCTCTCTTCCCTCTCTCTTTCAAATAAATAAGTGAATCTTAAAAAAAAAAAAAAAAGTATATGACGGTGGCGAAACCTTTTTTGTTAGTAGTAGGGAAAACTTCCACCTACCCTGAGGTGTCCACCGTAAGGAAAAGGTAACATGTTCACCTAACTGGTCAGTTTGCCAGTCCTCCTCTGGGAGCGATCCATGGGCCTTGTGAGTGGGGAATGGGGGTGGCCTAATATTAGAGTTGGGGTTAGCAATTTGACAGATGCTACATATCTGAGATAAGCTATGCATAGTTTCTTGTATGGTGGGAGTTAGGTGTACATATGATCTCAGGAAGTGAAAAAGAGAGTTTGGGTTTGAGTGATTGAATGGAGGTTTTTTAGGAAGGTAACTTGGAGAGAAGAAAGGAGCATTCGTTTTTCATCTAGAAACCACCATGAGTCCTTCCTTGTTGTTGGAACGGAGAGATTTCTAAGGCTGAATATGCAGGAGGTAAATGAAAGAGAAAAGATGGGATTGTCTCCCTGCGAGCCACTGCTGTGGCTGTCAGATCAGCCTGGTTGTTAACTTCAGATAGGTGGTGTTTATCTTTGGTGGCCTTTGCAGTGAATAATAGCAGGTTCTGTCGACAACTGGGCAGCATCAAGGAGAGCTTTAATCTGCTTGCCATTATTATAAGGGTTCCTCGGGCTGTCATAAAACTCCTTTATTGCCATATCTGGACATTGGAATGGATGATATTATAGGCTTATCGGGAATCTGTGTCTATATTAACTGTCTTTCCTTTGGCTAAGGTTCAGGCTCAAGTCAAGGCTAACAGTTCGGCCACGTGGCAGGTAGTGCCTTGAGGTAGGGGCCTAGCCGCTGTGACCCCACGTGGGGAAGAAGAGTGTCCTCATGGTACCCCTCAGTTCAAGAGAGGGCACTGCCCGTTTTCAGGCTAGAGGAATTGCGTTAGCGCCTGCTGTCACGAGAAGTCCCAGGAAGGTGACAGAAGTGGAAAGTAGCTGAGTTCTTTGGAGATACCCTATAACCTTTTCAGCTAGAAGATTTAAGACTAGTGCTACGTTGGAGACAGGTCTTGGGAGGGGCTCCAGAGGAGAAGATCATGAACATGTTGAAGAAAGATGCCGGGTGAAAGGTTAATAGAGGCCAGATCTGCCTGGAGGGATTCAGGGACAAGGGATGAATTCCAATTTTGTCTCTCTTTTGGGTAATGAGCGAGAATGGCTGAGGCTATGTCCTTGTTCCATCACCTTACACCTGTCACATCTGTGCTTTCACACCTCTGTAGAGGTGGCATTCCCTTTCCCCTCTGTTCATTACAAGGGATATGAAGCTGCTAATCCTTGAAGTCTTTTTTTCTTCTTCTAAGACTTATTGTTTATTTGAAAGAGTGACAGGGAGTGACAGAGGGAAAGTGATCTTCCATCCACTAGTTCACTCCCCAGATGGCTACAACTACCCAGCCAAAACCAACAGCTGCGACTCCAGCTGAGTCTCCCCCATGGGTGGCAGGGGCCCAAGCCCTTCAGCCATCTCTTACTGATTCCCAAGACACATTAGCAGGATGCTGGGTCAGAAACGGAGCAGCTAGGACTCCCGTGTATGGGATGCCCATGTCGCAAGCACCAGTTTTGCCCACTGCACCACAGCGCTGGTCTCTCTGAAGACTTCACTCTGCTTGGGACGCACTTTGTTCATCCCTCAGGTTTCCGCTCAAGGCTGCTTTCTGAGAGAGCCTTTCCTTGATACCCACGTTTCTGCTGTCCCCTTACTCTCGTCCTGCTGTCCCCGTACTCTCGTCCTGCTGTCCCCTTACTCTCGTCCTGCTGTCCCCTTACTCTCGTCCTGTTGTCCCCTTACTCTCGTCCTGTTGTCCCCTTACTCTCGTCCTGCTGTCACCTTACTCTTGTCCTGTTGTCCCCTTACTCTCCTGTTGTCCCCTTACTCTCGTCCTGTTGTCACCTTACTCTTGTCCTGCTGTCCCCTTACTCTCGTCCTGCTGTCCCCTTACTCTCGTCCTGTTGTCACCTTACTCTTGTCCTGCTGTCCCCTTACTCTCGTCCTGTTGTCCCCTTACTCTCGTCCTGCTGTCACCTTACTCTCGTCCTGCTGTCCCCTTACTCTCGTCCTGCTGTCACCTTACTCTCGTCCTGCTGTCACCTACTCTCGTCCTGCTGTCACCTTACTCTCGTCCTGCTGTCTCTTCCTTTGTAGCACATCACAGTTTCTACAGTTTCTAGTAATGGTCACATTACGCGTACACACACTTGTATGTTAAACAACATCTACCTCCCAAGAAGACCGTAAGCTCTTGGAGAACAGGGATCCTATCTTTGTTGGTCAGCATTTTGTATGTCGGTTGGAGCCTAACATTTACTAGTTTCTCAGTATATACTTGCCCAGTGAATGACTCACCACCTTTGAGAAACATTCTCTAGCTCTTAGCACCCATGTTTTACTACCTAACTTTATTATGACATTTATTACAGCGCTGTGTCATCTCACTAGATTGTTAGCTACACAAGATTGCAGTTCAGGCCTGGAATCATGCTCATTCAGGCTTTCTTTTCTCATACCTTATCCCTGAGGTTAACTGTCTTAGAGTCACATTACTTGTGCATTCAGGTAGCTGTTTCTACCTTCCTAAGGGGTTTCAGCCCCCTGTTTATTTTATGTATTTGGCTTTCAGATACATTTCTGTTTGTTCAATCACTTCTGTAGCCCCAGTTCTTTGCACTTCCCTCTTCCCCAGAAACAACAAAAACAAAACATTGTCCTGTCCTTGGAGAATAATCTTTATTTGGAATCACATTTCAGTTCGGTAAAGTAGAATATTGAATTTACTGAAGAGGTTTTCACAGCACAAGGATCACCAGCGGGATACTTATTGTGGTTCTAGTGTGTTGGGATGAGGAAGGATTGTGGATTTTGGGGCAGACATTTGGTATGGTGGCTAAGATAGCTCTTGGGATGCCTACATTTCATGTAGGAATACCTGGGCGTGAGTCCCAGCCCTGCTTACAATTTCAGCTTCCTGCTAACGCGCATCCTGGAAAGCAGCAGATGATAACTGAAATGTTTGGCTCCCTGCAACTCTTGGGAGATCCAGACTGAGTTCCAGCCTACTTGCTTCAGCCTGGCCCAGTCTCCGCTGTTGCAGAGTAAACCAGCAGAGGGAACATTTCTCTCTGTGTCTGTCTGCCTTTCAAATAAACTGGAGGGGGGGAGGGGCTATGAATTTGGCCATTGAATGATTTTTTTAAAACTGTGTTTCCCAACTAGGACATACTTCATACATAGTTAGAGCTCCATAACTGTTTACTAGATTCAATATGTGTCCTCAAAAAGAGTATTTGACACTTGATCTTAGCCAGAAGACCAAGAAACAATTAAGCAATTGACCTAAGATCACATGACATGGAGGCCAGCACTGTAGCGTAACGAGTAAAGCAGCCACCTGTAGTGCTGAATCCCACATGGGCACCAGTTCAAGTCCTGGCTGCTCCCCTTCCATCCAGTTCTCTGCTATGGCCTGAGAAAGCAGTAGAAGATGGTCCAAGTCCTTGGGACCCTTCACCCATGTGGGAGACCTGGAAGAAGCTCCTGGCTCCTGGCTTTTTTAGATCGACGCAGCTCCGGCCGTTGCAGCCATCTGGGGAGTAAACCAGTGGATGGAAGACCTCCCCCTCCCCACCTCTGCCTCTCTGTAACAACTCTGCCTTTAAATTAAGTAAATAAATCTTTAATATATATATATATACATACATGACATGAATTCTCTTCATGATCCCATTTGTAAAACTGTTGGAAATGCTAACCAATACAATAGACAAGTTTAACATGAAATTATTATTTGAATAAATGTAAATATAAAAGCCACAAAGTTCCATATAAAGAAATATATCTGTGATCTTGAAATGAGGAAGGCTTTTCTGAATATACCTCAAAATTCAGAGGTAATATTTTTATTTTATATATCACATTGCACAAAACACTTTTTTTTAAAGATTTTATTTATTTATTTGAGTGTTACAGACAGTGAGAGAGACTGACAGAGAGAAAGGTCTTCTTCCATTGGATCTCTCCCCAAATGGCCGCAACGTCCGGAGCTGCACCAATCCGAAACCAGGAGCTAGGAGCTTCCTCTGGGTCTCCCATGTAGCTGTGGGGGCCCAAGCACTTGGGCCATCCTCCGCTGCCTTCCCGGGCCACAGCAGAGAGCTGGACTGGAAGAGGAGAAGCCGGGTCTAGAAGCGGCACCCATGTGGGAAGCCAGCGCTGCAGGTAGAGGATTACCCCAGTGCTCCCTGGTGCTGGCCCCACAAAACACTTTTAAAAGACAGCAGGGGCTGGCATTGTGGCATGGTGGGTTAAGCCACTGCCTGTCAGGTCCTGGCTGCTCCACTTCCAGTCCAACTCCCTGCTCATGTTCCTGGGAAGGCAGTAGAAGATGGGCTCCTGCACCCACATGGGAGACCCAAGTGAAACTCCTGGCTTCTGGCCCGGCCCAGCCCTGGCCATTACAACCATTGGGGAGTGAAAATTTCTCTCTTCTTTTTCTATGTCCTTCTCTCTGTGTAACTCTGCTTTTCAAAGAAACTAAAAACAAAACAAAACAAAAGGACAACAAACTTGGAAGCAATTAATTAACACAGACAGCAGGGGAATAACATCCATGGTAATAACCCTCTTTTCGCTCAATTGAAAATAATGGGGGGGGGGCGGCACTGTGGCACAATATGTTACGCCTCCGCCTGCGGCTCTGGGCCCATATGAGCGCCACTTCTAGTCCCGGCTGCTCCTCTTCCAGTCCAGCTCTCTGCTGTGGCCTGCAGTGGAAGATGGCCCATGTCCTTGGGCCCCTGCACCCATTTTGGGGAGAAGGAAGAAGCTCCTGGCTCCTGGCTCCTGGCTTCGGATAGGCGCAGCTCCAGCTGTTGCAGCCATTTGTGGAGTGAACCAGCAGAAGGAACACCTTTCTCTCGCTCTCTCTCTCTCTCACTGTCTGTAACTCTACCTCTCACATAAATAAAATCTTAAAAAAGAAGAAGGAGGGAGGGAGGAAGGAAGGAAGGATGGATGGATCTGGGGCCAGTGCTGTGGCATAATGGGTAAAGCCGCAGCCTTCAGTGCCGGCATCCCATATGGGTACCTGTTCAAGTCTCAGCTGCTCCACTTCCTATGCAGCTCTCTGCTGTGGCTTGGGAAAGCAGTAGAAGATGGCCCAAGTCCTTGGGCCTCTGCACCTGTGTGGGAGATCTGGATGAAGCTCCTGGCTTCAGATCAGTGCAGTTCCGGCCATTGCAGCCAATTGAGGAATGATCCTCTCTCCCTCTCCCTCTCTCTCTCCCTCTCCCTCTCTCCCTCTCCCCCTCCCCCTCCCCCTCTCTGTATAACTCTGACTTTCAAATAAATAACTAAATAAATCTTTAAAAAAAAAAACAAGCATAGTCAGTAAGATTCTAAAAGGAGTAAGTTAGGAAGAAAGGGAATGAGTTCTACCAGATATTAAAGGAGGGGTGGAGTGGACTTTAGCCTAGTAGTTAAGATGGCCTGTTAAGACCCTGGCTCTTGACTCCAACTTCCTACTAATGTAGACTCTGGAAGACTGTTGTGATAGCTCAAATGACTGGGCTGCTGCCAGCAACAGTAGAAACCTGGATCTCACTCTCAGTGCCCAGCTTCAGCCCCAGTCCAGCTATGGCCATTGGGCATTTGAGGATGAACCAGTGGATGAGAATTCCTTCTTTATCTGTTTGTCTCTCTGCATCTCAAATAATTTTTTTAAATATTTATTTATTTATTTGAAAGAGTTACACAGAGAGAGGAGAGGCAGAGAAAGAGAGGTCTTCCATCTGCTGGTTCATTCCCCAGTTGACCGCAACTGCCAGAGCTGTGCCTATCCAAAGCTAGGAGGCAGGAGCTTCTTCCTGGTTTCCCATGCAGATACAGGGGCCCAAGGCCTTGGGCCATCTTCTACTGCTCTCCCAGGCCATAGAAGGGAGCTGGATTGGAAGAGGAGCAGCCAGGACTTGAACCAGTGCCCATATGGGATGTCGACACTGCAGGCAGCAGCTTTATCCGCTATGCCACAGCACCAGCCCCTCAAATAAATTTAAAATATATGACAAAACTATAATATAATGTGGTACAAGCACATAAATAGACCAATAGAGCAGAAAAATCAATAAATAAATACAAATACACAGGAATTTTCATGTGATTTTTAAAAATATAGTATTTAGGCCGGCACCGCGGCTCAGTAGGCTAATCCTCCACCTTGCGGCGCCGGCACACCGGGTTCTAGTCCTGGTCAGGGTGCTGGATTCTGTCCTGGTTGCCCCTCTTCCAGGCCAGCTCTCTGCTGTGGCCAGGGAATGCAGTGGAGGATGGCCCAAGTCCTTGGGCCTCTGCACCTGCATGGGAGACCAGAAAGAAGGTCCTGGCTCCTGGCTTTGGATCAGCTCAGCTCTGGCCATTGTGATCATTTGGGGAGTGAACCAGCAGATAGAAGACCTCTCTCTCTGTCTTTCAAATAAATTTAAAAAAAAGAAAAGGGCAAGTGCGGTAAATAGGAGACGTGATGCTGGAGAAGCCCACAGCAGCTCTAGGAAGATGGAGATCCTGGCATAGCAGCAGTACATCCATGGGAAGGGCAAACAGGTCAGACGGGGCAGTCACCAAGTTGCTCACTGTCTTGCCCAAGAACAGGATGCTTGGGTTACTCTGACCCAGATTCTCATCTGCACCATGTACTGATGAATGCCTGCCCTCCCTTTGACCCTCTGCCACCTGAATTAACCAGGACAGTCATTTTACTCCGGGGGAATATTCTCTCACCTACTGAGAGCTGGAGGTAAGCCAAAATGAACCAAGAAGCAGAAAGCACAACAAATCTGTATTATCTCGACACCATTCCTGAGAGCCTGAGCCTGACCCCTGCTACTGTACAGCCAAATGTTCCACCCGTGCTGACTCATTTCCCAGTGTGCTTTCTTAACCTTGCTGCACAAGGAATCAGGACTCAGCAGTTAGCCGTCATCAGACTCACAATTCGCTACAATGAAAGGACACAGAGCCATATCAGAGAGAAAAGGCAGTGGGACAGGGTCTGGAGGGAACCAGGCATGACCCAGGAATGCTGTCCAGCAGAGGCACACAGGACACGCTTTACTTCCTCCAGCGTGGATTGTGACAGTGCATGTGAAGTGCAGCCGACCAGGAAGGCTCATTAGTGACTCAGTGCCCAGGGTTTTTACTGGGAGCTGGTCACGTAGCCCCCTGCACCAAGCAAATAGCAAAATTCCAGGCTCCCAGAAGGAAAACAGTATTCAGTGTGAACCACATTGTTTGTTCAGTTTAGCCACAGAAAGACACTGATTTTTTAGAGAATGGCAGGACCTCTCCTAGTCTTGTTCCCAGATGCCAACCAAGGGCCAGTCTCACAAGCGTTCCTTTCTAAAGAGAGCTGTCCTGAGCCTGTTGTGTGAACTACATGCCAGTGTAGTGAAATCACAATAGGCAGTAAGGGAGGGGTCAGCACTGTGGCGTTGTAGGCTGAGCCTCCACCTGCAGTGCCAGCATCCCATATGGGCACCGGTTTATCTCCTGGCTGCTCCTCTTCCAATCTAGCACTCTGTTAATGGCCTGAGAAAGCAGCAAAGGATGACTAGGTGCTTTGGCCCCTGCACCAGGAAACCCAGAAGAAGCTTCTGGCTTCTGGTCGACTCAGCTCCAGCCATTGAGGCCATTTGGGGAATGAACTGATGGATGGAAGACCTTTCTGTCTCTCCCTCTCAAATAAATAAAAAAAATATTTTTTAAAAAGTAAGTGAATATGTGGTGATTTTTTTCTACCAAAACCCATTCTCCCCTTCCTCCATGGTAATAGAGTTGTAGTTGGGCACGTGGCTGTATAGTTGGACTGCATTTCACAGTGTAGAGCTAAGTATGGTTATGTGACTGACATCTTGTTAATGAATCCAAGATATGGGTGTTAAGCTACCTCTGGGTCTGAGCCTTTAGATTTGTGTTAGCCATTTGGCACAGTAGTTATGACACTGTATCCCATATCAGAGTACCTTCTCTTCTGCTTCTTATCCACATTCTTGCTACCGCACACCCTGGGAGGTGGCAGGGTATGGGTCAAGGGCTTGGGTCCTTGCCACCCATATAGGACACCAGATGAAGTTCTGGGCTTCGGGCTTCAGCCCTGATTGTCGCAGACATTTAAGGAGTGAACCAGCAAATAGAAAATATCTCTTTCCTGCTCTTCACTCTTGTTGTCTCTCTCCCTTTCAAATAAAATGAAAATTTTATGAAAAGAGACTATGCACTGTTCTCTTAAAACCTTTACAGTGCCTCTCTCGTAATGTCTTTCTGATTTCTGCTGTCCTGTATCCATAAATGCCAAAGGCAACAGCTGTGACCATGCAGGTGGTGAAATGCTCTCACGACTGTGGAAAACAAAGATGTAAGGAATCAGGTTCTGTGAATGAACACAAGCACTGCCTGTCACCCTGGACCGTTCATGTTGGATTGGCATGTGAGAGTCAAGTAAACTTTTTCTTTTTATTTTATTTTATTTTATTTTATTTTATTATTATTATTTTTTTTTTTTTTGACAGGCAGAGTGGACAGTGAGAGAGAGAGACAGAGAGAAAGGTCTTCCTTTGCCGTTGGTTCACCCTCCAATGGCGCTGCGGCCGGCGCACTGCGCCAATCCGGTGGCAGGAGCCAGGAGCCAGGTGCTTTTCCTGGTCTCCCATGGGGTGCAGGGCCCAAGCACCTGGGCCATCCTCCACTGCACTCCCGGGCCACAGCAGAGAGCTGGACTGGAAGAGGGGCAACCGGGACTAGAACCCGGTGTGCCGGCGCCGCTAGGCGGAGGATTAGCCTAGTGAGCCGCGGCGCCGGCCAACTTTTTCTTTTTAGATTTATTTGAGAGGCAGAGCAGCAGAGGAAGAAGCAGAGGCAGAAAGAGAAATGTCCTGTACCTTGGTTCAGTCCCCAAAAAGATGCAGTGGCCAAGGCTGAGCCAGGCAGAAGCCAAATAAGAGATAGAAGTAAGGTACATACAAATTTAGAAAAGTAGGGGCAAAAGTTTTGACTTTTTTATGGTAGGATCAAATACTTAGAAAATCCATGAGAATTATCTACAAAACTGCTTCTAATATGGGATTTTGGTTACAGGGTATAAGATTATAGAAACTGGAAGCCTTTGTATACACAGATACAGCACTGTGTGGATGTCCTCGTGTGTGCCCCTTCACCGCCGCCCATGGTGCTCCAGAACAAGGTAGCTGGGTCACAGGGCTCAGGTCATCTTCATTTGGCAGAAGCCACCAGGTGGCTGTCCTGACCACCTACACCAGCTGACATATCCACTGGTATCCCTGCCAGTACTTCCTGGGTCCCCTGCACGGAAGAAAACACAGGGTCTAGGAGGGTGGTAAAGGAATCCCCAGGGTATCAGCAGGCATGGGTCGGAGCACCACTGCGTGCGGCCTCACCCTCCCGACCCTCTCACAGAGTTCAGGACCGCAGGGCAAACTGGCCGTGTGCTTCGCCGAAATTGTGTGTGGCAGCAGCCCTTCTCTCTGTAAAACAGTTTCTGCCTTCTCTCAGAATCGCTCTCTCATTCCCTAAGCAGTGCATCTGTCCCTTCTTTGTCCCTCGTAAGAACAACCTGAAAGAACATTTTTGTTGTCCTTTGAATTTTGGCACACATGGCACAGTCCTGCTGACAGGGTTCTCCAGATCCATCTCTAGTTATGCTTTCCTTCCTCTAGATTTTGTCCATCCTCTCACAAAACTAGGCTGCAGTGAGCTCTGGCTGGCACGCTGCTTCCTCTCCCACATTCCTCTTTTCATCTTCATCATGATTAATTTATGATTGTATAATCGAGATTTCTTTTTAAAGAAGCTACATGCTTCATATTAGGTAACAGAACCCAAAGTTCCTGAGTGAATGGTGGCTCTTTGCTGCTCACTGAAAGTAAAAAGCTAATAAAATAATTGGATCAGAAACTGGAATTTTTATATTGCTATGAAAATATTGAAAAACTTCAGGAACAAATGGAGTTTAGTGGGCACATACTTTGAACAATCAAGAATCAATGGTTGGGACCAGAGCTGTGGTGTAGTGGGTTAAGCTGCCATCTGCTACACCAGCATCCCATGTGAGTGCCAGTTTAAGTCCCGGCTGCTCCACTTCTGATCCAGCTCCCTGCTGATGTGCCTGGGAAAGCAGGGGAAGATGACCCAAGTGCTTGGGTGCCTACACCCACATGGGAGACCCTGAAGAAGCTCCTGACTCCTGGCTTTGAATTGGCCCAGCTCTGGCCACTATGACCATTTCGGACAAAACCAGTAGATGGAAGACCTCTCTCTCTCTCTGTTCCTCCCTCTCTCTAACTATGCCTCTCAAATAAATAAGTAAATCTTTAAAATGAATTAGTGGTTGATTGGGTGTTTTTTTTTCTTTTCCAATTTTTTAAATTTATATAATGGGAACAAGCCAGGAACCAGAAGCTTCTTCCAGGTCTCCCACACGAGTGCAGGGACCCGAGCACTTGGGCCATCAACCACTGCTTTCCCAGGCCGTAAGCAGAGAGCTGGATCGGAAGAGGAGCAGCCAGGACATGAACTACCATCTATATGGGATGCTGGCACCACAGGCAGAAGCTTAACCTACTACGCCTTAGTGCCAGCCCTATATATAGTTCTATGAACATAATATTTACCACCCAACCCTCCTTCCCTTCCTCATTCCCACCCCCCCTCCTCGTTCCTTTCTTATTTTAATTTTTGCAATGACCTACTTTCTTAAAAAAAAAAAAAAAAACCTAGTTTAGCAGGAATATATACAACAGCATAAACAATAATTGAATGAAAAAATGACCATGTACAGTAAATTTTGAAGTAATCACAGATCATTAAACTATAGTAGCATAACATTGTTAACCATTGGTTTGACAAAGATATAAAACAGGCCAGCACCGTGGCTCACTTGGCTAATCCTCCACCTGCAGTGCTGGTACCCCAGGTTCTAGTCCCAGTTGGGGCGCCGATTCTGTCCCGGTTGCTCCTCTTCCAGTCCAGCTCTCTGCTGTGGCCCGGGAAGGCAATGGAGGATGGCCCAAGTGCTTGGGCCCTGCACCCGCATGGGAGACCAGGAGGAAACACCTGGCTCCTGGCTTTGGATCTGCGCAGCACGCTGGCCATAGCGGCCACTTTGGGGAGTGAACCAACGGAAGGAAGACCTTTCTCTCTCTCTCTCTCACTGTCTAATTCTGCCTGTCAAAAAAAAAAAAGTTTTAAAAAACTATATTTGGTGGGGCCGGCACTGTGGTGTAGCGGGTTAACACCCTGGCCTGAAGTGCTGGCATCCCATATGGGCGCCGGTTCGAGACCCAGCTGCTTCATTTCCAATCCAGCTCTCTGCTATGGCCTGGGAAAGCAGTAGAAGATGGCCCAAGTCCTTGGACCCCTGCACCTGTGTGGGAGACCCGGAGGAAGCTCCTGGCTCCTGGCTTCGGATCGGCACAGCTTTGGCCATTGCAGCCAGTTGGGTTTGAACCAGTGGATGGAAGACCTCTCTCTCTCTCTCTCTCTTCCTCTCTGTAACTCTGCCTTTCAAATAAATAAACCTTTTAAAAAAAAAAAAGAGTATATGCAGCAGTACTGATACAGACCTTTGTCTTAATAATTTCTTTTTTTTTTATTTTTATTTATTTATTTATTTATTTATTTATTTATTTATTTTTATTTTTGACAGGCAGAGTGGACAGTGAGAGAGAGAGACAGAGAGAGAAAGGTCTTCCTTTTGCCGTTGGTTCACCCTCCAATGGCCGCCGCTGCAGCCGGCGCACCGCGCTGATCCGATGGCAGGAGCCAGGATCCAGGTGCTTTTCCTGGTCTCCCATGGGGTGCAGGGCCCAAGCACCTGGGCCATCCTCCACTGCACTCCCTGGCCATAGCAGAGAGCTGGCCTGGAAGAGGGGCAACCGGGACAGAATCCGGCGCCCCAACCGGGACTAGAACCCGGTGTGCCGGCGCCGCAAGGTGGAGGATTAGCCTATTGAGCCACGGCGCCGGCCCAGACCTTTGTCTTAAATTTTAGCTCCCACGTATAAGAGGAGAACAAGTGGTATTTGTCTTTCTGTGTATGGCTAATTTCACTCAATGTGATATCCTCCAGTTATATCCATTTTGCTGCAAATGGTAGAATCTCATCCATTTTTATAGCTGAATTTATCATGGTGTATATATGCCACATTTTTTCTGATGATGGACACCTTGGTAGATTGCAAATTTTGGCAGTTGTGAACCGTACTTCTGTAAACATGATGGTAACCCGTACACTTTGGGTGTCCAGGCATCCACTTCACAGAACTCCACCCCCAGCCTGCCTGGACCATTGCAGCTGCTTTCTGATGGTCCACCCGGGCCATACTTGTGAGCCTCAAATCCTGACTCCACCCAGTCACCACGATCTACCTGAAGCACAGATCTCGGCCTGATCAGTCTCTCTTGCACCTACCGTCTGCTCTCCTCACTGGGCCCCAGGCCTTCCTGAACGGCTCTGTGGCTCCTAGCTGGGCCCTGACCATGCCAGCACCTGCCACACTGCTTCTGGCCTTGACACCCTTTCCCGTGCTGTCCCCGTGCCGTTGTCTGAACATGACTGGCTCCCCAGCTCATCAGATATGCAAACCCCAAAGTCTTAGGTTTATGTTGCTGAGAGGGTAGAAACTGAATCCATATACAGCGTCTGAAGGTAAGGCCTTCAGGAAGTGATCGGTGGGGTTAGGTTGTTAGGGTCGAGCCCCCATGAACGAATCCTGGTAGCTTTGTAAGGAGTGCCCACAAGACCACTTGCTTCTTGTCTCTCTGCTTACTGGCTCACAGTGTGATCCACCCCTGCACACGCTCCACCACCCACCACCCTCATCAGACGCCAGACCAGTGGTGCTGCCGGATCTTGGACTATGAACCTCTAAAACCATGAGCCAAAATAAAACTTCCTTTGTCAGTAGCCTGTGTCAGCTGTTGGTCATAGTAACAAACAGCTGCCCAATGTCCCCCTCCAACTGCCATGCCCTTCCACCCTGACACAGGTTGTTCCTTACAGCTCAGCTCAGTCATTTGCCATTGGGAAGTCTTTCTGGTCCTCTCTGCTCCCATAACACTCTTTAAAAAAAAATGTATTTATTTATTTGACAGGCAGAGGCAGAGAGAGAGAGAGGTCTTCCATCTGCTGGTTCACTCCCCAGATGGCTGCAATGACCAGAGCTGAGCTGATCCAGAGCCAGGAGCCAGGAACAACTTCTGGGTCTCCCACATGGGTGCAGGTGCCCAGTGACTTGGCCATCTGCCATAGCAGAGAGCTGGATCAGAGTGGAGCAGCAGGGACTCGAACGGCACCCATATGGGATGCTGGCACTGCAGGCGGAGGCTTTACCTGCTACGCCATGGCGCCACACCCCCACCCCAACCCCCACCCCTGTAACACTCTTGAACCTGATTTTATTGTTGCACTTACATCAGGCCATGCCAGCACCTATTCCTGTGTCTGTTTTCCCAACAGTAAGCTGCTGAGAATGGGAACTGGGTGCTGTGTTGAGTCCCCTGGCTTAGCCAAGTCCCTGGCATATTATAAGCTGAACCAATGCATGTTGAGTGAACGTTGAAGGAAGGAAATCTGGCTCCTAGAAGGAGCATCAGGTATTAGCAGCACCCATTGTTACTCCACCTGCCTTATAAATTATTTCAGAATGTTGAAATATTTTAGGAAAGAACAAGAACTACATTTGCATAAGTCCATTATTTAATTTTTACTCAGTTACACCTCCACCAGCCTCCAAGTTAGTTGAGACAACCTATAAAAATATGTCAGGGGCAAGTGTTTGACCTAGAGGTTATGGTGCTCATGTCCCATGGCAGAGGACCTGGGTTCCATTCCCAGATCTGCTCCTGATAACGTAGACAGCAGTGATGACCCAAGTGGTGGGTTCTGAACCAACATAGGAGACCTGGAATGTGGTCCTGGGCCCTGGCCAGGCTAAACCATTGCTGGCATTTGGGGAGTGAACCAGTTGATACCTATCCATGTCTCTCTCTCCTCCCTCTCTCTCTCCCAAATTCAAAGCAAAAAAACCTTTAACAGACTCCTGCTTGTATGTTACTGCCCAGGACCAGTCACAGGGCCCCCTCTGACTTCTTTAGAAGCTGGGAAAGTAAGTGCACAGGTGGACTTTCCAGGCCTTATACTCCAAGTGTCAATAAAAGGCTGCTGGAAGCGACTGGACAGCCTCCCTGTCTGCCACTGCCGGGGGAAAGCATTTAACATTCATTCATTAAGCTGTTTCTGTTTATGACCCAGGAACCTTACCTCACTAGCGACAGTCCATCTTTTCAAGTTATAAAATACTTGAACATTATTTATGGGGAAAAAATTAATTCTTGAGACCCCCCCCCCCAGCAACAGATGGCTCAGAATGCTGAGGGTGCCAGTGCAGTGTGCCACTCAGAACTCCCGTGAGTGCCAGCACCTGGGTGGGTGTTGGGGCACAGCAGGTGAAGACGCCCACATCCCATAGCAGAGTGCTGGTTCCAGTCCTGGACCTCTGCTCCCGAACCAGCATCCTGATAATTTGCCTAGGAATAGTGGCACAAGTACTTGGGTTCCTGTCACCAATATGGGAGACCTGGCCGGAGTTTCTGGCTCCTGGCTTCAGGCTGACCCAGTCTGGGCTGTTGCAGACACTGGGGTAGTAAGCCAGTGGGTGAAAGATTTCGTTGTCTTTTTTTCTCTCCTTTTTTCTCTCCCTTCTCCTCTCCCATGTTGGTCTGCTTTTCAAATGAGTAAACATTAAAAAAAAAAAGCGCCAGAGAAGGATGCTGGTCCAATTTCTGTCTTATCCTCTTTATGGCCAGGGGATGGGGTCCTGCAATTGGCCCTTCTGGGACAGATACCCACCCTGTGAGGGAAATGAGGTACAAGGATTAGCCACCCTAGCAGAGGCCCTAAGTCAGGATGAGTAAGAAGCAAGCCCTAAAGGAACAGAGGTACTGATGCCACAAGCATCCGTAGGGCAGGGACCAACACTGCACAAGAAAAACAGCAGCCTTCACCACACTGTAGCTGACTCCACCCTCTGAGCTGCCCTCCTCCACTGAGAATGAGATCAGTGGGCGGGAGACCCCATTTGCAAAAGCTGTGGGAAAGTGAGACCCTGCATTGCCTCCTACAGACAGTAGAACTACTCAGGCCTAAACAAGGCTGTGTCCTCACAGCTCTCTGTGAACAGTGACTGCTCCAGGTGTGGAAAAGGCACCATTCCACAGGGGGCCACACTTCATCAGTGGCCATGCCAGCCTGAGACCCATTCGCTCTCCACACAGTCCCCCGGGACCCAAGAAGCAGCTCTTGTGGCCCTTGCACATGCCGTCTTCCTGACAGTGTGGCCTGTAGCAACGTGCTGCGCCACGAGCCAGCTCTTGCCCACGAATTGCTCCTGATCCCTGCTGGTAGTACAGAAACCACACCTGGTTACTGAGGCTTGGTGTACAATACCGACTTTGTGATAGCCAGGAGTGCCGGCCCTCCTGGGAAGCTGTGACCATGATTCTGCATGACATGATGGGTCTCACATCACACAACAGAAGTCATTCAGGATCAACTCCCACTTGGGGGCCTGTGTGCCAGGGATTTCTCTATTTTTCATCTAATTTAATCTCCAAAATAAGCATAGCAATTAGATATTCCCATTGATTGATCAGAAAAATTCTCACAAGTCAAGTAGGGGAGCAAACCCTGAATGTTAACCCAAACTTCTTGGTTCTGGTCTATTTATTTATTTGAAAGGCAGAGTTACAGAGGCAGGGAGAGGAACAGAGAGAGATCTAGCCGCTAGCTCACTCCTCAAATGGCTGCAATGGCAGATCTGAAGCCAGGAGCTTCTTCCAGATCTCCCACATGGGTTCAGGGGCCAAAGGACTCAGGCCATCTGCTGCTTCTTTCCCAGGCACATTAGCAGGGAGCTGGATCAGAAGTGGACCAGCCCGGACTTGAACTGGCAGCCATATGGAGTGTTACTGCAGGCAGCAGCTTTACCCACTATGCCACAGCGCTGGCCCCGGTTTTGAGCTATATCAGTTTCCACAGCTGCCACACCACCAGCCCCTCCTAAGGGACTTTAATTTAAAAGAAAAATTTCTGGCACTCTGGTGCAGTGGGTTAAGCTCCTGCCCACAGTGCCAGCATCCCATATGTGTGCCACTTCTGATCCAGCTCCCTAATGTGCCTGGGAAAGCAGCAGAAAATGGCCCAAGTCCTTGAGCCCCTGCACCCATGTGGGAGACCTGGATGAAGTTCCTGGCCCATCCTCAGCTGATGCAGTCATTTGGGGAGTGTATCAGCAGATGCGTGATCTCTCCGTCACCCTGCCTTTCAAATAAGTGAATAAATTTTGGAGAGAGAGACCATCCATCCACTGGTTCACTCCCCAAATGCCTGTAATAGCCAGAGCTGGGCCAGGCCAAAGCTGGGCTCTCCTGTCCAAGTCTCCAGCATGAGTGGCCAAACCCACATATTTGGGCCATCATCTGCCACCTTCCCAGGCATGATAGCTGGAAGCTGCATCAAAGCAGGCAGGTCTCTAATCAGGCAACCCAGTGTGGAATGCAGGCAGTCCAAGAGGGGGTTGCCTCCCACATGGAGACCCAGATGAAGTCCTATTTCCTGGCTCTGGGCTTAGCCCAGAACTGGCTGTTGTGGCTATTTGGGGGATTAACCAGTAGATGGAAAATCTATCTGTCCCTCTCTGTTGCTCTGCCTTTTAAATAAGCAAATAAATAAATATTTAGGGAAAAAAACCCTAATATACCTCTAAGGTTTACCAGAAACTCTGCTGAAGAGAATGCACAAGATTTGGGGACGGCGCTGTGGTAGAGCAGGTGAAGTCGCTGCCTGCAGTGCTGGCATCCCGTACGGGCGCTGGTTTGAGACCTGGCTGCTCCACTTCCAATCCAGCTCTCTGCTGTGGACTGGGAAAGCAGTAGAAAATGGCCCAAGTTCTTGGGAGGCCCAGAAGAAGCTGCTGGCTCCTGGCTTCAGATCAGCTCAGCTCTGGCCATTGCGGCCCCTGGAGAGTAAACCAGCAGATGAAAGACCTCTCTTTCTCTCTCTCTGCCTCTCCTTCTCTCTCTGTGTGACTCTCTTTAAAATAAATAAATAAATATTTTTTTAAAAATGCACAAGATTTTGCACTAGTCACAGCAAGACCTAAAGCTCCATCTGACACTTAGAACCCCAGAGTGCTATCACATGAGCCTACAGCTTGGGAGAGGAAAACTCTGAAATGGGCAGGTTGCTTCAGAAGGGAAGATTGGGGTTGGAGGCAACGCCAGTGGAAGATGGCCCAAGTAGTTGGGCTCTTGCTACCCATGTGGAAGACCCAGATGGAATTCCTAGCTCCTGTCTTCAATCTGGCCCAAACCTGGTGGTTGCGGCCATCTGGGGGCATGAACCAGCAGATGGAAGATCTGTCTATCTCCCCGTCTCTGACACTCTGCCTTTCAAATAAATAAATCTTCAGGGAGGGCAGGTATGATGGGAAGAATCACTATATTCCTAAAGTTGTACTTATGAAATTTGTACTCATTAAATAAATGGTTTCTTTGGGAAAAAAATAAAATAAAAACAAATCTTTAAAAATAACAAAGAAAGGGAGATGGGAGGGCATTAGGCACCGTGGTTAAGATGCCACTTGGGATGTCCATGTCCATATCAGAGTGCCACGGGCAGGTCCCAGCTCCTCCACTTCCAGGCCAGCTCCTCTGAGGCACACCTGGCAGGCAGTGGTTATGGCCCCCACCCATGTGGGAGGCTTCAACTGTGTTGGGCTCTTGGCTTTGGCCTGGCCCAGCCCTGGCTGTTGGCAGCCATTTGGGGAGTGAACATCCATTTCATAAACATTTTGTTTTATTTTTTATTTGGAAGTCGGAGAGACAGAGAGCTGTTGTCTGGTGCTTTGCTCCCCTAATGCCTACAATAGCCAACACTGGATCAGGCCAAAGCCAGGAGCTACAAGCTCTATCGGTGTTTCCCATGTGGGGGCAGGGACCCTGGTACTTGAGGCATGACTTGCAAACTCCCAGAATGGACCAGCAGGAAGCTGGAACTGGGAGTATTTGTAGAACTCCGTTCCATATGGGATGTAGCATGTGGGCAGTCTTGGCTGCTGCACCAGATGCCTGCCCCGTGTGATCTGCACAAACACACCGTTCCTGTTTCCACTGTGGAGGCACAAACACATTATCTCGAAGAATGAAAAAAGTTGGGGGGAACAGCCCTGGGTTTTGTGCCATGTGTTACTTGTCAGTCCTCCATGTCCTTGTCAGGTGGAATCACAGCTCCTTCAGCTTGAATATTTTGATTCATGAGATGAACTCTGAAATGTGGTGGTAGGTAGACTCACCTATGCCACACTTTTAAATGATACAAAGTTGTCGAAAGGGTTTTGGGGGCCAGTGCTATGGCTTAGTAGCTTAAGCCTCCATCTGTGGCATCCCCTATGGGCACCGGTCCAAGTCCCAGCTGTGTCTCTTCTGATCCAGTTCTGCTGTGGCCTGGGAAAGCAGCAGAAGATGGCCCAAGTGCTTGGGCCCCTGCACCCACATGGGAGACCCGGAAGAAGCTCCTGGCTTTGGATCAGCCTGGCTGCGGCCATTGCTGCCATTTGGGGAGTGAACCAGCAGATGGAAGACTCTCTCTCTCTCCCTCTGTAACTCTGCCTTCAAATAAATAAATACATATTTTTAAAAAGATTTATTTATTTTGAGAGGCAGAGTCACAGAGGGAGAATCTTTCATCTGCTGGTTCACTCCCCAAATGGCAGGAACGGCTAGAGCTGAGCCAATCTGAAGTCAGGAGCCTGGAGCCAGGAGCTGGCACTGCAGGGGGTGGCCCCAATAAATAAAAGCATAAACAAACAAACAAACAAAAAAGGGTTTTGAATGTAGAGGCCACATGCTGTATGCTGCTGCCCAGAGCATGACATTGCCAAGGAGATTAGAACTCCCTGAAACTAGCCGGCGCCGCGGCTCACTAGGCTAATCCTCCGCCTAGCGGGTTCTAGTCCCGGTTGGGGCGCCGGATTCTGTCCCGGTTGCCCCTCTTCCAGGCCAGCTCTCTGCTGTGGCCCGGGAGTGCAGTGGAGGATGGCCCAGGTGCTTGGGCCCTGCACCCACATGGGAGACCAGGAAAAGCACCTGGCTCCTGGCTCCTGCCATCGGATCAGCGCGGTGCGCCGGCCGCAGCGCGCCGGCCGCGCCGGCCATTGGAGGGTGAACCAACGGCAAAAGGAAGACCTTTCTCTCTGTCTCTCTCTCTCTGTCTCTCTCTCACACTGTCCACTCTGCCTGTCAAAAAAAAAAAAAAAAAACAAAAACAAAAAACAAAAAAAAAAAACAAAAAAAAAAACAAACTCCCTGAACCTGGTACTCGCTGTCTCCACTGGCCGCTGAGCTCTGCACGCAGCACATCACTTGCCTCAGCGTCTTCCAGCAGACGGAAGATCCCTGAGGTGAGACATCTACACGATGTGCGTCTCTGCCAAGTCTGGAACACCACAGGTGTCTGCCAAGTCTGGAACACCACGGGTGTTTGCTAAGTCTGGAACACCAAGGGTGTTTGCTAAGTCTGGAACACCACGGGTGTTTGCGATGTGCGAAGTTTCCAGTAACTTCTTCTTGCTCAGTTCTACTTAACAACGCGCCTTCCCCTAGTTGTAGAGGCAGAATGTAGAATTAAGCACAGATGGATCCTGATCCACCTGTCCCATCCCTACCGCCTCTGTACACCTTGTCCCAGAGTCAGCCGAGAAGCAAAAGAGGGACAAAGAAGCAAATATCCCTTCCCATCCGTTATGCTGATCCGGCTCTTTGCAGGAGGGGTGGGCGATTTCCCAAGGAGGAGTTCTGTGGGCGCGAAGGGGTGTGAGCAGAACGGGGGGAAGGCAAGCCCTTGTAACAGGGCTTGGAGGAGAGTTCAGAGCTGTCGGGATCAAGCATTACAGGGCCAGGAGGCCCAGCCCGAGCACCCACAGCGGGGCCAGCACTGAAAGGGTGACCCATTCATGGCAAGGTGTCCACACCCAGGTATCTGGCCCCTGGCCGACTGGCCGGGTTGGCAGGTGACCCCTGGCTTAAACTAGACAGAAAGGAACTGTCAGCCCCCAGGCCAGCCAAGCAGAGGGACCTGCTCATTCCTCTTCCACTTTCTGTTTCTGAAGCACTTACCCCACCCCTGCCTGGGGGTGTCTGAGGGTAAGAGCACCTCTGGGCACCCAAGGGGCCAGCGGGACCTGTTCTTCCACTGGCAGATCACGAGGCTGTTTGGGTGGATCTGTGTTGGTCAAGACAGAAATGGAGCAGCAGTGGAGGGCAGAGCCATGGCACCCACCCGGCATTGTGCCCACTTCTCTGCAGTCCCCAAGGAGTGCAGGGAGGGCTGGACACAACCCCACTTCTCACCATTCTTTGAATTTTGCTTCTTTTAACCTTCCAGTCTTCTTCCCTTTCAAGTTCGGCCGCATTCCCACCTAATGAAAGGCTGGAAACGTCGCTGTGAACGCTTCAGGGTGAAGCTCTAATGATGGTCATCATTCTCTTTCCTAATTCTGCTCAGGGGAAATAAAACAGTGTGACTCCCAACCACGAAAGCCATTTCCAGCTGGAGACCTGAAACAGCCCTCACTGGCCAGTAGATGGCGCCAAAGGTCAGTCCCTTTCCGCCTTGGGATTCCCAGCACCTGGTGCAGTTCCAACACTGGCCAGCCCTTCACCCTGCACACAGGAGGCCACAATCCCCACCCTGTGCTGCCAGAGGAGGAGGCGGATTTGTAGGATAAAGGCAAGAGAGAGACGGAAACTAATTTCATCCCAGCTGCGGAGGAAGCATCTAGAGCTGGTTTCCAAGTGGGGATCAGCAGACGAGTGTTCCTGGAGGAGAGAAAGGCATTGCAAGAGAAGAGACGGTGGGGCCTGCCGGGTGGCACTGGGGCTGAGCTGCTGCGTGTGATCCGGGGAATCCCATCTCCAGCTTCTCGCTAATGTGCCCTGGAAGGCAGCCAACATGCGGGACCTGGCCCAGCCCTGCTTGTTGTGGGCATTTGAGGGTGAACCAGCAGATGGAAGATACCTCTCTCTTTCTGTCACTCTTCCTTTCAAATAAACAAATCTTAATGTATTCTGCTCCCCTTTCCCCAACCAATAAATGTCTGTGTTTAAAAATGAAATAAATAAAGAGGAGTACACACCGGGTTCTGTGTGCTTGCGGCAGAGCTGAGTGGAGAGGGAAGCGTGTGGGGAGGCAGGCCAGCCCAGCAAGGCTCTGGAGCTGCTGTACTGATCTGAATGAATGAAAGGAGGTTGCATCTGGGGGCAATGGGCCCTGTTGTGTGTGCATTTGATGGGTCCTCAGGCTTCCTGCGGGGGCCGGGGCGGGGTGGGGGGAGCCGCAGCATACCCAGGAAACAGCGCAGCAGGTGGTTGGAGGGGCAGCCCACCACCCACCACCACCCTCTCCTGCCTGTTCTTCCTCTTTCGTGGCTGTTTCTCTCTGTATTTTCTTAAATGTCCAGGTCACGCTGACGGTGCCTGGAGCACCCAGCTGGGACCCTGTGACGGGTGGGTGTCTGCAGTGTCTCAGGCTGTGGGCAGAGAGCACGTGGGTCCACGCCCCAGCAGAGAGCGGGCAGAGCTGGCATGAGTGGGCAGCTGGGGCCTGGGGCTCCAACGCTCAGGTAGAAGTGCTGGCCCAGTGCTCCAGGAGCCCCGGGGAAGTGGGTGGATAAACACAGGAACTGGAACCCATCAATTCAAAAGGAGCTTGGGCTGCCTGGATCTGGGTGGGGCCCTAACCTCCAGAGCAGGGCTGTTTTACAGGAAAACTCCAGCCCCTTAGCAGCTGTCAGGACGAGGGGCTGCAGGAAAGGGGTGAGTCCAGGATGACTCAGAGGTTTGAAGGGGAGCTCAAGGCGGATGAGGGCACTCTGGGAAAGACGGACGTTTACGCTGACATCCAGGAGGACGGGTCGAGGGCCTGCCTGGGCTCATCCCACTTTCTGTTGGCCCATTTCTTGTCTGTCCCGCCCCCGCGAGTGTGAGATCCAGAGATGCTGCCTGAGATTCATCCAGCTCCCCGTGCCTCGCCCGGGGCTGTGCACACTGTCCCCCCCCCGCCTCCATCTCCCTGTGCCTCACCCGGGGCTGTGCACACTGTTCCCCCCCCCCCCCCCATCTCCCTGTGCCTCGCCCGGGGCTGTGCACACTGTTCCCCCCCCCCCCCGTCTCCCTGTGCCTCACCCGGGGCTGTGCACACTGTCCTCCCCTCCCTGTGCCTCACCTGGGGCTGTGCACACTGTCCTCCCCCCGTCTCCCTGTGCCTCACCCGGGGCTGTGCACACTGCCCCCCCCCCCCGTCTCCCTGTGCCTCGCCCGGGGCTGTGCACACTGTCCCCCCCCCATCTCCCTGTGCCTCGCCCGGGGCTGTGCACACTGTCCCCCCCCCCCCCGTCTCCCTGTGCCTCACCTGGGGCTGTGCACACTGCCCCCCCCCCGTCTCCCTGTGCCTCGCCCGGGGCTGTGCACACTGTCCCCCCCCCCCCCTGTCTCCCTGTGCCTCGCCCGGGGCTGTGCACACTGTCCCCCCATCTCCCTGTGCCTCGCCCGGGGCTGTGCACATTGTCCCCCCCCCCCCGTCTCCCTGTGCCTCACCCGGGGCTGTGCACACTGTCCCCCCATCTCCCTGTGCCTCGCCCGGGGCTGTGCACATTGTCCCCCCCCCCCGTCTCCCTGTGCCTCACCCGGGGCTGTGCACACTGTCCCCCCACCCCCGTCTCCCTGTGCCTCGCCCGGGGCTGTGCACACTGCCCCCCCCCCGTCTCCCTGTGCCTCACCTGGGGCTGTGCACACTGTCCCCCCCCCCGTCTCCCTGTGCCTCACCCGGGGCTGTGCACACTGCCCCCCCCATCTCCCTGTGCCTCACCCGGGGCTGTGCACACTGTCCTCCCCTCCCTGTGCCTCACCCGGGGCTGTGCACACTGTCCCCCCCCCCCCCGTCTCCCTGTGCCTCGCCCGGGGCTGTGCACACTGCCCCCCCCCCATCTCCCTGTGCCTCACCTGGGGCTGTGCACACTGTCCCCCCCCCCCCCGTCTCCCTGTGCCTCACCCGGGGCTGTGCACACTGTCCTTCCCCCCCCCCCGTCTCCCTGTGCCTCGCCCGGGGCTGTGCACACTGTCCCCCCCCCCCCCCCCCGTCTCCCTGTGCCTCGCCCGGGGCTGTGCACACTGCCCCCCCCCCCCCGTCTCCCTGTGCCTCACCCGGGGCTGTGCACACTGTCCTCCCCTCCCTGTGCCTCACCCGGGGCTGTGCACACTGTCCCCCCCCCCCCCGTCTCCCTGTGCCTCGCCCGGGGCTGTGCACACTGCCCCCCCCCATCTCCCTGTGCCTCACCTGGGGCTGTGCACACTGCCCCCCCCCCGTCTCCCTGTGCCTCGCCCGGGGCTGTGCACACTGCCCCCCCCCCCGTCTCCCTGTGCCTCACCCGGGGCTGTGCACACTGCCCCCCCCCCCGTCTCCCTGTGCCTCACCTGGGGCTGTGCACACTGCCCCCCCCCCGTCTCCCTGTGCCTCACCCGGGGCTGTGCACACTGCCCCCCCCCCATCTCCCTGTGCCTCACCTGGGGCTGTGCACACTGTCCCTGTCTGAGAGCAGGCTTCCAGCATACAGAGGCCAAGGGGAGGATGGGGTGGGAGGGCGGGTCCCGCCACCCCTCCCCACAGACACACTGGATGCTCAGAACCCTCCAGGCTGGACCCCACTCCCCTCCCCCCTTCAGCTAGTGAAACTGCACCCTCGGGCTGTCACTGTGTCACTGTGTCCCTGTGTCCCTGTCCAGCTCCCTCTCCAGGTCATCCCTTCCGCGCGTCCCCAGCATCCTGCTTCCTGTTCGCTCTCCAAGTGGGTGCTGCTGGCCGGGTTCCCCACCCACCCGGGAACCCCCAGAGTCCACCTGTGAGCTTGCCCGGCTCTGCTGCCCCTTCCCCACCCACGAGCGTGAGGTGTGGATTCCTGCGCCAGGCTCACCGGCCCCATCCCGCGCACACTGTGGTCAGAGCGGACAGAGTTCTGACTGGGGCTCCAGGGAGCCCCTCTGATGCCTGGTACTCGTCTCCAGGCCACGTTCTGAGTCCTCGGCCCTGCGGACTGCTTAATTTGGCCTCTGCTGGCCTCTTCTGCTGCACTGGCCAGCCGCTGCCCCACAGGGCTGTCCCCACCCCACCCACCCACCCTGCTGAGGGCATTGTCCATTCTCCTCCTCACCTCTCACTTCTCCCACTGCCCTAGGTAACCCCTAGTATTCCTTCTGGGTTTCGCCCAGGCCCTCAGGCCCTTCACAAACACTGTTCCACCTCCGGGATGCCCTTCCCCACACTCCCCCAGCAGCTAACACCTGCCCCGCCCGGCAGTCAGGGAGCCTCCGGGGCCCCTCTGACGTGTCAGTTACAAATCCGTGTCTCTGTGGCATTGGCTTCATGTCTCCACCATGAGGACAAGGACCTGATTTCTTCTTTTTTCTTTTTAAAGATTTGTTTATTTATTTGAAAGGCAGAATTACAGAGAAGGAAACACAGACAGAGGTCTTCTATCTGCTGGTTCACTTCCCAAATGACCCCAACAGCCAGGGCTGGGTCAGGCTGAAGCCAGAAGCCAGGAGCTTCTTTCAGATGTACCACCTGGGTCCAGGGGCCAAGAACTTCTCTGTTGCTTTCCCAGGCATGCTAGCAGGGAGCTGGATCAGAAGTGGAGCAGCTGGGACTCAAACTAGCACCCTTAAGTGATGCCAGCTTTGCAGGCTACGACTCAACCTGCCACACAGGCCCCAAGGCTCACTGAGCAAGAAGACACTGTGGGGCTGGAGCTGTGGCACAGCGGGTTAAGTCGCCCCTTGCCACACCAGCACCCCGTATCAGAGCGCTGGCCCGTGTCCTGGCTGCTGTTTCCAATCCAGCTTGCTGCTAATGCACCTGGGAAAGCGGCAGAAGATGGCTCAAGTACTTGGGGCCCTGGCACCCACATGGGAGACCCAGATGGGGCTCCGGGCTCCTTCCTGGCTTCAGCCTGATCTAGCCTTGGCTGTTGCAGCCACTTGGGGGACGAACCAGCAGATGGAAGATCCCTTTCTGTTTCTGGTTCTCCCCCTCTCTCTCATTCTACCTTTGAAATAAAACTGTGTTTTTCTGTTAGAATGGCCTTTTCCCAGCCACACTTGGCGTTGGTGACAGCGGGAGAAAAGGAGACGGAATGTCTGCTGGGCTCCCCTCTGGTGGCAGCCCCTGGGGAGTGGAGAAGGTGACCGTCCCCAAGTAGGGCCCTGAGGATGGGTCACCACTGGCCAGGGGCACAGCAGTTTGGCAGCCAGTTTTCACTGCACAGCCTGGTTTGCTCTGGGAATCCACTGTAGGACCAGCACTAAAGTACACACAGCCAGACGTACAAACAGTAGAAATACAGCCGGAAACACACGCAGCCAGAAACAGGCCCTCCCTCTGGCTCCACCTCCCCTGGGGCTTCCTCGAAGTCCTCCCTCGCCATCTCAGGCACAGAGGCAGACAGGTGCAGGACAGGGTCACAGTGGCTGGTTCTGGGCTGCTCTGTGGTCTGTCTGCTCGCCTGCCCAGGGCACCTGTCCCCACTGTCCATCGAGAGAACACGCACACGTGCGACTCTGGTGTGCTCAGGGCCTGCCCGGTGCTGGGGGCTTCCCTGGGGTCAGTCACGCAGCCCACGCTTCCCGTAAGGGGAGAGGCCTCCAGCACAGAGGCCGGGCAGCTTGCCCAGAGCCACACAGCCCGTGCCTGGCAGGGTCTAGACTCAGACCGCTTCTAGAACCGTGCTCTACTTGATGTCCTCTTTCTTTGAAAGACCTTTTCTTTCCAAAGTATGTACCACCAGGCTTCCCCATAGAACAACTTGATTATGAACATTTCGCCAAAGTTTCGGTTAAACTTTAAAAAACCAGCTTAACGAGGGTCAGTTACACGCGATGACCTGCACGTGGGAAGTATGACGGGCTGCGTCTGCCGCGTCGCTGCACAAGGCTGTGCTCCGCTTGGGCTCCACGGTTTCCTCGCGGCCCTTGCTGGCCCCTCCTGTCTGCTCCTGAAAGCTCCGCCCCCACAGGCATCCCGCCCCCGTCTGCTTTTTAAATATTATTTTTAGATTTATTAATTTTCATTTTGTGGGCCGGCCTTGTGGTACAGCAAGTTCAGCTGCCACTTGCCACTGCAGCATCTGGCGTCGGAGTGCCAGTTTGAATCCTGCTGCTCCGCGTCTGATCCAGCTCCCTGCCACTACACCTGGGAAAGCAGTGGAAGATGACCCAAGAGCTGGGACCCCAACATGGGACACCCAGATGAAGTTCAGCCTTGGCTGTTGTGACCATTTGGGGAGTGAACCAGCGGATGGAAATGTCTCTCCCTCTGTCTCAGTCTCCCTTTCCAAAAAAAAAAGGTTTCCAATGGAGGAGGAAACTGGTCAGATTCACCAGACAGCAAGGTCCCTCTGGGAGCAGGCCTTGTGGCTCAGCAGCAGGCCAGGCCATAACGGAGTGCCTGCTCCAGTCCTAGCTACGGCACTGCTGATCCGTCTTCCTGCTACACACCATGGGAGGCAACAGACGGTGACCCATGTGCTTGGATGGAGTTCGGGCCCCTGACTTCGGCCTGGCCCAGCCCTGGCTGTTGGGACATGCAGGGAGTGAGCCGGCAGATGAAAGGTCTCTCTGTCTTCCCCCTCTGCTGCTCTTTTAAGTAGATGAGAATAAACACTTAAAAAAAGTCGCTTTGGGACAGTTCAACAAATATTTAGGAGGGTGAACCTGCAGGGCCTAGTGTTGTGTTAGAAATACAGTAGTGAGGACTGGAGCAGGAGGCGGCGGCTACATGGGCAGGAAGTGAAGTGAGTGGGAGCACCGTGAGCGTGGGTCACACTCCCAGCATTCTGAGGTCCCCGCGGTGACAGGGAGTCTGACCTGGCAGGAAGGCAGCGCGGGAAGGGGTTCCCAGGAGTCTGTGAGCAGAAGGCCCTGGGACTCAAGTAGCAAAAAGGAAAGGGAATGGTGTTCCAGGCGCAGGGAACAGTGTGTGTTTCCTCGTGGGGAGGGTTCATGAAGAGACTGCCAGCCACACGCACAGGGCACAGGGCACTGAGGGCCACCAGGCAACCTGCAGGGCCTCACAGGCCTGGCTAAGCTCTGGCAAGCCGGCTAGGATCAGGGAGCATGGGGGGGGGGGGGCGGCAGGGCAGACCTGTCTGCTTAGAGCTCAGGTGGGCTGGAGGTCTCCCAGGTGAGCTGATGGTTGTGTGGTTGGGGCGGGGTGGGGGGAATGGGGCAAGCGGATTCCTGAAGTGTTCACAGGCAGCCAGGGGCAGGTGGTGGCAGGGGGCTGGGCCATGGCCAGGGAAGTGGGGGACAGCTGTCGGGGAAAGTGGTTCCCAGTGAGGACAGACCCAGGGGGTGGCCCGGGGCAGGCTGCAGAAGAGGAAGGCCAGACAGTGCCCGACGGACAAAGATGGCAGAGCAGGACCACTGTCTTTTTTTTTTTTTTTTTTTTTTAAGGCTTTATTTATTAGGAAGGCAGAGTTAGAAGCAGAGAGGCAGAGGTGGGGGTGGGTTCACTCCCCAAATGGCCGTACCAGCCAGAACTGAGCCGATCTGCAGCCAGGAGCTTCTTCCAGGTCTCCCACGGGGGTGCAGGGTCCAAGCACTTGGGCCACTTTCCACTGCTTTCGCAGGCCACAGCAGAGAGCTGGATCGGAGCTGGAGCAGTGGGGGAACTCGAACCAGCATCCATATGGATGCCGGCACCGCAGGCATGGCTTTACTATGACACAGCACCAGCCCCTACAAGTCTTTTAAGATTCATTTGTGGGGCTGGCACTGTAGTGGGGAAGATTAAGCCGCCGTCTGCAGTGCTGGCATCCTATATGGGCGCCGGTTCTTGTCCCGACTGCTCCTCTTCTACCCAGCTCTCTGCTGTGGCCTGGGAAAGCAGCGGAGGAGGATGGCCCAAGAGCTTGGGCCCCTGCACCCACGTGGGAGACCCAGAGGAAACTCCGGGCTTCTGATCGGCCCAGTTCTGGCTGTTGAGGCCATTTGGGGAGTGAACCAGTAGATGAAAACCTTTTTCTGTCTTCCCCCCAACTCTGCCTCTCAAATAAAATCTTTACAAAGAAAAAAAAAGTTCATTTATTTGGAAGGCAGAGGGGAGACGCGGAGAGACGGACAAGTTGAGAGTGACCTTCCGGCCCCTGGAGCACCCCCCAAATGGCCACAGTGGCCAGGTGGGGGCCAGTCTGAAGCCAGGAGCCAGAGCTCTGTCCTGGGCTCCCACGGGTGGCAGGGGCCATCTGCCGCATCAACAGGAAGCCGGGCGGGAAGCAAAAGCAGCTGGATCCAACCGCATCCCAAGCGGCGGTTTAACCCACCAGGCTCCAGGGAGGGCAGCTGGGGACCTGCCCCTGCTCTCCGCGCCTCCCCCTCCACTCCTCTCCTCCCCCGCAGGCTGGGCAAACCTGGGCCAGTCACATTCCTCCCCATTCACTTGTAGGAAACGCACATGAGGGCCGGGACCCGCCCGCGGCTGAAGGGGTCTGTTCCCACCTTTGCGACGCTCTGCACGCTGTGGGCTGCGCTCACGCTCCCAAGCGCTCTCCAACCTTCTCCTGGAAGAGCGGGTTTTCCTAGAGACCACGAGGGAGCGGAGCGGTCAGGTGCCTTTAGGTTGGGAGCGTCCAGCTGTTCCAGAGGGCCAGGCCCGTCGAGGGAGGAAGTGGGCCAACAAAGGGAGAGCTGGACACAAAGGCTCCGAGGGCCGGCGCGCTGAGCCGCGGCGTCCTTCCAGGGCAGACCCCGACGCTGACAGTGAGGACCCTACAGCCTGGATGTGGCTCTTATTTTTTTTCTTTTTTAACATTTATTTGAAAGGTAGGGTGAGAGAGGTCTTCCACCCGGAAGTTCACTCCCCAGATGGCCAGGCTGCAGCGTGAGCCAGGGACTCCACGCGGTCTCCCACGTGGGGAGGGCCCGGCCGCCGCCGCCCCCGCCCCGGGCTCCGAGCGCCCCAGTCCCACTTAGACCTGGCCTGGGGCGGCCCCCGGGGCTCCGGCGCTGCACGCCGCTGCTTCTCCGGAAGCGAAAGGCTACGGGTTTCCCGGAACCCCGGCGGCGGCGGCGGCCGGGCGAGCGTGGTTCAGCACCTGGGCACGGGGAGGCCGTGGCATCGGGGAGCCGGCCCGGGGGGCTTCCGCGGCCCTCGCCCTCCTCACGCCCGGCCTCGGGCCGCACCTCTGCGGAAGCCCAGGCGCCGGAACGCAGCCCTCGACCCGTAACCGCCGCCGCAGGCCCGCAGCACGACTCCAAAACCCAGTCCCCAGACACAGCGGACGACCCGGCCCGGCGACCGAAAGCTGGCGCGGCCTGCACCCCAGGCCGCTGCACCTTGCGCGGGCGACTCGTTGGGAGCGGCCCCGAGCTGTCATAACCCACGGGCCATTTTTTGCACATTTCACACTACAAGGGCAGGGACCTCAGGGCTCGACGCCCCCTCCCCCGCCCCGGCTCGCCCGGCGCCGCGAGGACGCATGCGCACGCGCCCGCGCTCGCGCCCGCGCTTGGCGGGCTTAGGAGCCCGGAAGGCGCCGAGCCCGCGCAGGCGCACAGGGGCCGGCGCGAGGGCGCGCGGCGGCGCGGGCGGGCGGGGGGCGCCCGCCGTTCCCTGCGCGGGGTCGTGCGCGAGCCCGGGGCAGGGGCGGGCCACAGCCAGGGCGCAGGCGCAGGCGCGTGGCCGCGGTGGCGGTTGGGGAGGGTTCTTCCGGAAGGTTCGGGAGGCTTCTCGAAAAGGCGCCGCGCGCTGGGCGGGCCCGCCTCTATATAAGGGCGGCGCGGGGGCGGCGCGCCAGTTGCTCCAGCGTCCCGGTGCTGCTGCGTCGCGGAGGCCGTGCGGTTCTTCAGCCAAGGTGAGGGGGCTGCGGGGGTCTCAGGCCCGGGGGTGTGCGGGGGCGGCGGCGGGGAGCGGGGGCGGCCGGGGGCCCCTCGGCCGCGGTGCCCGAGCGGCCGCGGTTCGGCCTCCGCGGCCGGGGCCTGTGGAGCCGCCTCCGGCGGGCCGGGGGCGCCGCGAATGTTCTGGAGAGGCCGCGGGGCGGGGGCGCCGGTGCGGGGCTGCGGCGGGGTGGCGCCCAGCCCCCGGCCGTGCCGTGCCGGCCGCCATGGCGGGGCCGCGGCCCGCGGAGGGCGGCCGGCGGCGGCGCGGGGCGAGCGGGGCCCGGCCGGGCGTCCGCCCCGCAGCGCGCACGCTCCCGCGCCTGCCGCAGCTCGAAATGAGGTCATCCCTTTGTGAGGCGCCCGCGCCGGCCTCGGGGCGGGCGGCGGGGGCCGTGCGGCGCCTGATGGGCCTCGTGCCCTTGGCAGATGCCCGAGGAGACCCAGACCCAAGACCAGCCGATGGAGGAGGAGGAGGTGGAGACGTTCGCCTTCCAGGCGGAAATCGCCCAGTTGATGTCCCTCATCATCAACACTTTCTACTCGAACAAAGAGATCTTCCTGCGGGAGCTGATCTCGAACTCGTCGGATGTAAGTGGCGGCGGGGAGGAAGCGGGCCCTGGCCTCGGGGGGCGGGGGTGGGGGGGCGCCGGCTGGGTGCTGAGGACTTGGGGTCTTCCAGGCTCTGGACAAGATCCGCTATGAAAGCCTAACCGACCCCAGCAAGCTGGACTCGGGCAAGGAGCTGCACATCAACCTGATTCCCAACAAGCAAGACCGAACCCTGACCATCGTGGACACGGGCATCGGCATGACCAAGGCCGACCTGATCAACAACCTGGGCACCATCGCCAAGTCCGGCACCAAGGCCTTCATGGAGGCGCTGCAGGCTGGCGCCGACATCTCCATGATTGGCCAGTTCGGGGTCGGCTTCTACTCGGCGTACCTGGTGGCTGAGAAGGTGACGGTGATCACCAAGCACAACGACGACGAGCAGTACGCCTGGGAGTCCTCGGCGGGGGGCTCGTTCACCGTGCGGACCGACGCAGGTAGGGGGAGGGGCGCTGGGCGTGCTGGCGAGGGGGCCGGGGCTGGCGGGGCCGGCCTCGCGGGGTTTCCGCCGCCGCGTTCGCCCGGGCCGGGTTGGCCTCGCGGGGTTTCCGCCGCCGCGTTCGCCCGGGCCGGGTTGGCCTCGCGGGGTTTCCTTCCGCCGCCCCGTGCGACCCGGGCCGTGCTGGCCTCGCGGGGTTCCGCCGCCCCGTGCGACCCGGCGCGCTGGCTTCCCCGCAGGTGAGCCCATGGGGCGCGGCACGAAGGTGGTGCTGCACCTGAAGGAGGACCAGACGGAGTACCTGGAGGAGCGGCGCATCAAGGAGATCGTGAAGAAGCACTCGCAGTTCATCGGCTACCCCATCACGCTGTTCGTGGAGAAGGAGCGCGACAAGGAGGTGAGTGACGACGAGGCCGAGGAGAAGGAGGACAAGGACAAGGAGGAGGAGGACAAGCAGCCCGACGACAAGCCGGAGATCGAGGACGTGGGCTCGGACGAGGAGGAGGAGGAGAAGAAGGACGGCGACAAGAAGAAGAAGAAGAAGATCAAGGAGAAGTACATCGACCAGGAGGAGCTCAACAAGACGAAGCCCATCTGGACCAGGAACCCCGACGACATCACCAACGAGGAGTACGGGGAGTTCTACAAGAGCCTGACCAACGACTGGGAGGACCACTTGGCCGTGAAGGTGAGCGCCCCGCGCCCGGCGGGTGGCAGCCCGGCCCCGGCGCCGTCGCGGTGGTGGTGGTTGGCACCGGGCCTGTGTGTCGTTGCAGCACTTCTCGGTTGAGGGGCAGCTGGAGTTCAGAGCGCTGCTCTTCGTCCCGAGACGAGCCCCGTTTGACCTGTTTGAAAACCGGAAGAAGAAGAACAACATCAAGTTGTACGTTCGCAGAGTCTTCATCATGGACAACTGTGAGGAGCTGATCCCTGAGTACCTGAGTGAGTAGGAGCGGGAGTGAGCCCAGTGTCGCTGGTGATGCCACCACGTCTCGTCCGTCTGCTGGGGGGTGGGGTGGTGTGTGCTTAGACTGAGGGCGCGGTCTCCGCTACCTCAGATTTCATCAGAGGGGTGGTGGACTCGGAGGACCTCCCGCTGAACATCTCCCGGGAGATGCTGCAGCAGAGCAAGATCCTGAAAGTTATCAGGAAGAACTTGGTCAAAAAGTGTCTGGAACTCTTCACGGAACTGGCAGAAGACAAAGAGAATTACAAGAAGTTTTATGAGCAGTTCTCCAAAAATATAAAGGTGGGTGCAGACACACCGACGGCTGCCAGCTGGGTCCACACTGCCCCGCGGGGAGTGGTGAACCGAAGCCGTTCTCACAGGCGGGCTCTGTTTCAGCTGGGGATCCACGAGGACTCCCAGAACCGCAAGAAGCTTTCCGAGCTGCTGAGGTACTACACGTCGGCCTCCGGCGACGAGATGGTGTCCCTCAAGGACTACTGCACCAGGATGAAGGAGAACCAGAAGCACATCTACTACATCACAGGTAGCCCGCGCGGCCCGCCGGGCGGGGTCGGGGGCGCAGGGACTGAGCCTGCAGCGAGCCAGCCCGGTCCTGCCCCGCTAGCTTGCCTGCTTCCCCACGTGGAAACGTGACGTGACCCTGCAGGTGAGACCAAGGACCAGGTGGCGAACTCTGCCTTCGTGGAGCGCCTGCGGAAGCACGGCCTGGAGGTGATCTACATGATCGAGCCCATCGACGAGTACTGCGTGCAGCAGCTGAAGGAGTTCGAGGGGAAGACGCTCGTGTCCGTCACCAAGGAGGGCTTGGAGCTGCCGGAGGACGAGGAGGAGAAGAAGAAGCAGGAGGAGAAGAAGACGAAGTTCGAGAACCTCTGCAAGATCATGAAGGACATACTGGAGAAGAAAGTGGAGAAGGTAGGCGCAGGCCCAGCCTTGGTCCTGACGCACGCTTGCTGATCATGCTCCGTGTCTGAGGTCTGTTCACTTTCAAGGGAAAACGGGAAACCGGGGCCTGTGCCGGGGGGAGCCCCAGGTTGTTCTCAGACCTGGGGGTGCAGTGAAGCCGGGTGGTGAGTAACGCCGTCTTGGGCCCTCGTCTCTGCTTTGCCTCCAGGTGGTGGTGTCAAACAGATTGGTGACCTCTCCGTGCTGCATCGTCACAAGCACGTACGGCTGGACGGCCAACATGGAGAGGATCATGAAAGCCCAGGCCCTGAGAGACAACTCCACGATGGGCTACATGGCTGCGAAGAAGCACCTAGAGGTCAACCCCGACCACTCCATCATCGAGACCCTGAGGCAGAAGGCGGAGGCGGACAAGAACGACAAGTCCGTGAAGGACCTGGTCATCCTGCTCTACGAGACCGCGCTGCTCTCCTCCGGCTTCAGTCTGGAGGACCCGCAGACACACGCCAACAGGATCTACAGGATGATCAAGCTCGGCCTGGGTGAGCCGCGGCCTGTCCCGCGGGGAGGCAGGCTGGGGAGCGTGTGTGGTAGGGAGACTCATGCCACCCCCAGCGCCCTCTTAGCGTGCTTAACAGGCCCGTCCCCCTCCCCCGTAGGCATTGATGAAGACGACCCCACTGCTGACGACACGGCCGCAGCTGTGACGGAGGAGATGCCGCCCCTGGAAGGCGACGACGACACCTCCCGCATGGAGGAAGTGGACTAGCCGTGCAACCCTCGACCTGGGCACCCTCACTCCCTGAGAATATATTTTCAAGGATTTTTTTCTTTATTTTTGTTAACATTTTAAAAAAATCTGTATGGCATGACAACTACTTAAGGGGAAGATAAGATTTCTTTCTACTTCTAAGTGATACTGTGATGTTAGGCACAAGCAGAGTAGTGATGCTTCTCCCACGTGGCTTGTGACAGATGAGGCGACGCTTGCTGTGAGGTGTGTGTAGCCCGTCGTCAGCGTCGTGGTCTGCAGTGTGTAGCTGTCAGCGGATTCCTTAGAGACCAGATCTTGTCACTGAAGTGGTCTGAGCTATGCCTTGGTGTTACGTGGCTTGAGTTCATCTCCTAGGATGTACTTGTTAGCGCCCCTGTAGTTTCCGACCCCGCATGTGCTCTTCCTCTAGAAATAGGCTAACCTGAACCAGCTTGACGGAGGAACTCTCCACAGAAGTGTTGTTAAGGGGAACAAAATTACAAACCTACCTGGGTCTGTTGTGACGTTGTTGGAAAGTCACCGAGGTTTGTGGGTGGACTGTAGTGCCCAAGTCGTTTTTTGCTTTAAAAGGTTGTGACAAATACAGACGCGTTGAAAAATTGTGGTGGAAGCCTTGTTATTTGAGGGGACCTTTATACATGGCAGATGGCTACGTCTTGACCAGGGCAGAGCAGGACCAGGAGGTGTGGGGCACGTGACAAGGGCAGTCCTCTATCTGGGAAACTACAAACACCTCAGGAGTTTTGTCTCAACTGTGATGGTGTTCTGTCCCCTCTGGTGTCCTGGGGTGGGAATGACTCCATGGAAGTGTCATGGAAACTAGGAGACCTGTACTTTTGGCTCTTGGCAGCCATTTGAGAGTGAACCAAAGGGCAGGAAGATTTGAAAGTCCAGATACACATGCTGGTTTACTGCCCAGATGGCCACAATGGTTGGGGCTGGGCCAGATGGAACACCTTTGTGGGTGCAGGGGCCCAAGCACTTGGGACATCTGCTTTCGAAAGTGGATGGGTAGAGCTGCCGCCTGCAGTGCCCGCATCCCACATGGGTGCGGGTTTGAGTCCCGGCTGCTCCACTTCCAATCCAGCTCTGCTGTGGCCTGGGAAAGCAGAAGATGGCCCACGTGCTTGGGCCGCTGCACCCACGTGGGAGACCTGGAAGAAGCCCCTGGCTTTGGATCGGCTCTGGTCATTTTGAGCTAACAGATGGAAGGCCCCTCTGCCTGTAACTCAATCTTTATAGAGTGAAGCCGCCAGTCAGAAGCCAGTGCCTGTCGCAGTCCCTGGCTTGACCTACAGCAGGGCAGCACCTGCTCCAAGTTACTGGGTGATTCCTGGTTTCCTGGTCCTCCCGTACCCAGTGCCTTTCTGGTCATCGTGTTTGGTGTCTGAAGTTCTCGGGCTCATTGCCATTATCGATGTCCTAAGCCAACTTTAACTTCAACGCCCATATTCTGTCTGCTGTTTTGTGTAGCTGAATGGTCTTAGCAACGAGGTATGGAAGTAAAATAGGCCAAGGTACCTTGGCTTTTTCCTACTAACGTGAGAAATGTGAGGTTGCGGAGGGCATTGAGGGGCTCAGCAAACTGCATGATCTCCCAGTGAGCCTGTTCTGAGTCGGGGACACACTAGTGCGCTTGACACTTT